ACTGATAAAAATTGTAAAGTCAAAGGACACCGCCTCAAGCTATTCCATGAGAGTCCCACGTTAGAAGAGAAAACTATAAAAGTTCTCTCGTTGGGAAAGGCTACTTATGCGATCACCTATCCACCTTGACTTCTCGGGTGTGTTCTTTCCTCTCTCTCCTCTCTCTTATTTTATGCTTGTTTCTTTCAATAAGGACAATGTGTGTTTTAAGTGTGGGGGAGATAATTATTTATTTGTTTTGTTTTCTTTGCTTTTGTTTGTTGTTTTATTTTCAATTATAAAAAAAATAAAAAAATGTGCATCTTTTTGAAAGTTTTGGGTTATAGATTAATATGAGGTTAGTTGTGGATACTTGGGAAAAGTTCACAAGACCGGTATCGTCTTAACACTGTAAGTCTCATGCATATGGAAGTTAATTTGAATTTTTATTATGACGTAGCCTTGAATTCTCATCTTTTAATAGCTCTTGAGTAGTTTATTTCAGCAGTCAGCACCATCTCACACACACTCTACGCAGGGAAGCCGATGAAAATAAGTGAGTGATTCAAGTTTTATTTTTAAAAAAAAGTAAAGAAAAAGGAATGAGTCTTATAAGTTTGGTGACCCTCACCCGGTCACTTAACCCAACGGTCATAGAACCTACAACAAAAAGTTGATAATAAGACTCGTTGTTAGTTGGTTCAGCGGTTTTTGGTGCTGAACTTGGTAGGACGGATTACGGTCTGATCTCCCGCAACTACAATCGAGTAAGCAAAGGGTTATGCCACATAAGTACCAGAACCACGTGCAAAAAGGATCAGAGTCACTAACCGGTCGCCTTGCTATGAGTGTGTGGAGATAACAGGCTTATTGTGATTGCGCCTGAATGAAAAAGAGAAAAAAGGAGGATGAGTAAGTTAGGCTTTGGCATAATAATATGATTCGAATTGGTTTGTATATTCAAGAGACAAGATTAGTGTTTCTACGATATCCTTAGTGTGCAAGATTAGTACCTATTGATGTAATCTTAACCGAAGAAGAGTTTGTAGCCTAGAATGAGTAGTTGATGATGTTGTTGTGTTTCTTTTGATTTTATTTTGCTCGGAGTACAAAAGTTCAAGTGTGGGGGAATTTCATTAGTGCATTTTGATGCATATTTTTCCATGATTGTACTTATGCATTTTCATGGTTTGTTTAGCTTATTTTTGTATTTTATAATATTTTTCTATTTTAGTTTATTTCTACTCTTATTTGATTTTCGCACTTTATTTTCAGCATTAGCAGTCTGCACGAATAAATTCATAACTTGAGCTACAGAAGTCAGAATGAGGCGTGCTACCAGTCGTTGGAAAGCTAAGAGAAAGAGCTATGATTTTGATTCAGAAGTCAAGAGCTGAATCATACTGTAGAAGGGCCATAAAATTCGTTGAAGTTGCATCATTTTATATTTAAGTTTTGGATCATTTATTTTGGGCCTGGGTTATGTTTTTGACCCAGTTGGGTTATGAACCGAATCCATGTCCTTGCTATACCTAGCAGACGCTATAGTAATTTAGTTTTGACCTTTTCATTATTCAGAAAAAATACATTTTACTTTTACGCTTGAATGAAGAACTAATCATCCAGAGTTGACTACTGTAATCGTGTTCCAATGCTTTGAGATTTTTAACTTATCAATTCAATTTCATTTCTCTTTCAATTCTATTTTATGAAATTGTATTTGCTTAATCTGTTATTTCATGGAATGTCTTGATTAAATTCGTATGATTGTATTCATAATCTTTAATCGTTGTTTACGTCGCTTAGTCATTAAATCGCGTTTTATATCGTGTTTGCTTAATTCACGATTGTATTAATTTGTTTGCTTAATTCGGAATGGGAATTCAATCTATTTTATATCTATTGCGCTTGTCAATTGGTATTGAAATCGAATAGAGGTCGAAGCCGCTTAGAGAATTGTTAAGGTAAAAACCAATGATTAGCAGGAACCTGAAAACAGTAGATCGACTTATTTTTATAATCACTTATTTCGTGTTATAAATCGATTCTAAAATCAACCCCCCATTCGATTTCTATTAGTTAATAATAAAATCAAGAATCCTTGCGATACGACTCGAGCCATTGTCGCTATACTGCATTTTACAAAATACCCGTTTTTGATCCGTGTGCGACAGCGGGTCAGCCACTTAGAACTATAGGATGATGTGACAAATTTTAAAGTTATAATTGACGATGTATTTCTATAATATTCGATGCATTATATTTTAAGACCAACTCAGAATAACTTATCTTTGAAAATTGTATAAGAATTATTTTAAAATTTATGACATTTGTTCCAGGTGTTACTTTTATTTCTAAAATTATATATTAGGAAAATAAAAAACATTTTATTATGTTTGAATTTTCTCATCTTGTTTATATGATCTTTTCCTATTTGTCATTCGTTTATTATTTGATATTATATAAAAAATATAGTAAAATATATAGACACTATAAAAGATTGTTGCATACTATATTATAATTAAAATAAGTTTAAAGTGATTAATATTTGAAAATCATATAAGAACTACTTTAAGATTAAAAATATTTATTTCAAGTATTATTTTTTGTGCTACAATTTAAAGAAAACAAAAAATACTTTATTGTAATTGAATTTTCACATTTCTTTTATTTTTGAAATATGGGAGAAATTTTTTTAATTAAGGGAATATATATAGTTGGAATAATGATAAGTTTGTTAGACAAATTTGTTCAAAATGAGATTTTATTCCTTCTTGCGAGAGTTCGAACCCGTGACCTCCAATTTATAGAACTATTTTATTTCACATTTTAAAAACTAAAAATAAGTTTTGAAATATGTCATATAAGACTATAGGTTGATGTGACAAATTTTAGAGTTATAATTAATGATGTATTTGCTACAATATTCGATACATTGAGTTTAATATATTATATAAAAATAGATACAAGTTGTTGGTACGATATTCTTTGAAATTTTTTGGGTGTCTTTAGTTGGTTTATTTTGGTGATATTATATGTTTTTGATTTTGAAATTTTTTTTGTTGATACAATGTTTTAGAATTTGATGATACTAAAATATTTTGAAATATATGGTACATCTATAATATAGGATTGAAGATCTGAGACTAAGATGACATAATTAAATTTTGTAAAAAATTAAATTAATTTTTTTTTGTTAGAACTCAAAATGTATTAAATATTACTAATAATTAAAAAATAAATAAATAAATTGCTATAATTTTATTTTATAAACTTTTACAAAAAAAAAAATAGATTGATTTAATGGTACAGGAAGTTGCCTCTTGACCGGGGGACTCTTGGTTCAATCCTTACTATGTGTAAAGTTTTGATTTTTTTTCCAACTTTCTTTAATAATTAATTAAAATTAGAATATAAAAAATATTACATAGATTAAAAAAATTGGAAAAAAATAAGTTTAAAAATAATATACACAGTTCAGCCACAATTTAAAAGTAAGAAAAACAACGGATTTAAAAAAATATTATGAAAAAACAAATACGAATGGATTAAATTTTATAAGAGATTAAATATATTTTTTTTAAAGATTAATTTAGACTTTCCAATATTTATAAGATTTAAAATGAGTCTTCACTCTTATTTTATTTTTTTAATCCATTAAATACAAGTATTTAAAATAAAATATATCTTATTAAACTTTTAAAGAGTGCCCAAAGACATGTTAGTTTTTTTATTATTATAATAATAATAATAATAATAATAATAATAATAATAATATTAATAATAATAATAATAATAATAATAATAATAATAATAATAATAATAATAATAGTAATAATAATAATAATAATAATAATATTAATAATAATAATAATAATAATAATAATAATAATAATAATAATAATAATAATAATAATAATAATAATAATAGTAATAATAATAATAATAATAATAATAATAGAGACTAATTATATTAATTATTTTATAAATTTTAATTATAAATTTTTCTTATAATATGAGACATGAGAGAAAGGAGTATCTCACATGTAGATAGAGATTAACAAGGACAACAATTATGCTTACAAGTTACACAATTACAATTTTCATGTCAATGAGAATGAAATTATTTTCTAAAACATATTAAGAAAGATTTTTTTTTAATAATCGGTTTGATCTTTTCAAAATTCACTTTAATTAAAGTTCTACCTTGTTTTTATTTTCGTTTTTACCATCAATAAATCAATGATTAAAAAGATTTCGTCTCTAATTTATTTTTAACGTGTTGATTGAAATTGTGATTTTTAAAGATGGATTTCGACCTTCATATTTATTTCATTGAAAATTTAAATATCTAACCACACATAAATAAAAAGTCTCATATACCTAATTTTATTTCATTGAAAATTTAAATATCTAATCACACATAAATAAAAAGGCTCATATACCTAATTTCATAAATTTCACGCATATTTTAAATCGAAGTAGAAAAAATTATAAGAGAAATTGTATGAGTTTTTCCTTGACTTTCATTCTTGTGGAAATAGAGTAGTTGTGTCATATACACGTTTCTTTCCCATCAAGTTGGATAAATATAACATTTGGTGTTTGTGGTCCAAATGATGGATGTTAGATCACCTCTAACGGTGGTTTTTCATATTCGTTTGCCAGCTTGGCTTTAAAATTGCCAATAAAAAAGTTGTTCTAGCTGGTGAACGGTACAAATATAAGCAACGGTTCTTCATATTTTTTATTATTAAAATAATCAATTAGTCGTTGTGCAACGATTTTATTTTTTTGTTTTTTTTAAACTTTTTTTATTTATTATAAATATAGGTTTGTTGGAAAATTGTATACCAATCCTACTTTCTCTCACTTTTATTTACTCTTTAATTTCAAATTTCTCTCTCACAATTTCATCATTTTATTCATAAATTTTTAATTTTTTTCCAACAATTTCTTCTCATTATCATTTTATTTCAAATTTTCATCTTTTTATTTCAAATTACATTTGTTTAGGCCAAATGGATCCTAATCATTTTCATTATCAACAAGCTATGTTCAATTTCATGCAAAATTATCAAAATCCTAATTCTCAAATTCCATCAGTACCACCAAACTCCGCCATATTTTTTCCATCACCAAACAATCCAAATATGTATCAAAATCCTAATCCTCAAAATTCTCAAGTTCCACCATTTTCTACTCAAGTTGGTGTTGAAAAAGAAGAAAGGGTTCTCGTTAAAAAAAAATCTCGAGAGCAATTTACAAGGGATGAGGATATATGTCTTATCCAATCATGGCTCAGTGTTTCAAAGGATCCAATTGTGGGAGTTGATCAAAAAGCTGAGAGTTTTTGGCATATAATCGCTGCAAATTATAACCAGTATCGCGGGCAATTGCGAGAAAAGTTAAATGGTCAATTAAAATGTCGATGACATCGAATAAATGCGTCGGTTCAAAAATTTGTTGGGTGTTATAGACAAGTTGTCAATGGGAAGAAAAGTGGGACATCGGAGAACGATATCATGGTTGCTGCACATGCTTTTTATGCTCAAGATCAAGGTACAACATTCAATCTTGAGTATGCATGGCGATTGTTAAAAGATGAAGCTAAATGGGGCATCATCGGAGAATCGATTGGAAATTCTTCAAAAATGACACAGACTTCTGCTAGTGGGGCATCATCGGAGATCCCTGATACACCTTCAAGTTATGAGTTTAACTCATCATCACCAATGGAGCGTCCAATGGGACAAAAAGCAACAAAAAGGAAGGGTAAGTGTTGGCTGAAGATTTTGATAATATTATTAGAAGCAAAGTAAATTGGACGTTTCGATCGAAATAAAACAAAACGTCATGTTTCGAAATAGTAGAAGCAATGCTTCGAATGAGCATATCAAAGCTTGGAGCTTCGAGTGACAGTTATGAGAATATATCCAAAGAAGTCTCGAAATGATAACAAGGTTGTGTCTAGGAAATGCGTTCGAAGCGAAGAAGTGCCAAAACATTTGAAATTCAAATGCAAGCGGGATGTTCGAAATTTGAAATATATGCGCTAGAACATTCGAAGACACGTGGAAGCAAAAGAGAGGCATTGCTCTGCATGTTCTGAACGTGGCAGAATCTTATAGCAAGACCGTTATGGTCGAAGAAGCATAAATAGAAGTCTTAGCATTAGGATTTCGTGTGTCATATCTATTTGTACAAAAAACTCAGTAAACATTCAAATTACCACATGGCTAGGGAAACGAGTGCAAGAGCAATGTACGTATGATAACACCACATGTTTATGATTTAATGAAAACCCTTTATCATTTCCAGTACTTTCCTTATCTTTATGTCAATACCATTTACAAGTTTTTGCATCTAAAGTCTTTTTATTCGAAATCTTTTCACTGATGCCTTACGTTTAAATGCTTTCCTTCCATTTCAAATACTTTTACATTTCAGAAATTGTTATACATTCCATGCCTTTATCTTCAAGTTTTTATCCTTCGAACACCTTTTTAACTTAAAGTCATTTTACAGATTTCTTGCATTAAAGGCTTTCTTCACATTTCGAATCTTTTACATTAACTGCTTTCTTTACAATTCGATGTCATTTACTTGTCTTTTATGAAGTTTTTACATGTCTTTACAATTGACATTTATTCATGCAATTTAGTTTCGCGCACATATATTTTGATTACACCTTTAGATCTTTAAGAGAGAAATCGAAATAAGTCAAACACCTACACAACATTCTAAATACCAACCATGAATACCTGTTCGATCATGAGAGTTACCCTAATGACCAACACGTCCTAGGATCAATCTAGTCGATCCTGCGAGTTACTAGAGAAATTGAATAACAGTCAGTAAGTTTATTCGATAGTTTGGAGGACTAGCGGTTGTTTACCAGAAATCACTGTAAACAAATTGGCACACCCGGTGGGACCAATCGTTGGACGTTATAGAATTTAGAACAGAAATAAAGATTGTTGAGACATAACCATTATAAAAAGACCCTCTGAGTGATAAGTTTGTTGTTTTATGAACCTAAGAAGTGGTAAAATAACCAACAGCAATCAACCCTTATCCAGAAGAAAACGTTTGAACAAGATGTCTAATTCTGACAATCAACAAGGGGAACAAAATGCCACACATACAACAGACACTAACGTGTCCGCTTCGATGGGAACGTCTAATGTAATCCCTTCGAATGCACAGTCTGTTGCATCTTCTACCAGTAATATAGCCACTAATGGAGTAAGTGGCATATCAACTAATAGTTCGATCTTAGGAAATACTGGAACCATTGGTTATCCTGGGGGATTTGTTCCACCATCAGGGACACAAACCCATTTCGCCACTCCACTAACTAGACCACCCGGTTTCGATAGTAATAGAACCAGAAATTCCTCTTATGGAATGCCAACATCTTTTATGGCAGGTTTACACAATTCCACATCGAATTCATCACCACAATTAGGGTCTGGGTCTGGGGCGAAACAGTTTATGACAAATAACCAAGGGTCAGTGGGTTATAGCATAATGCCTATTTTAACCACAGAAAACCAGTTGGCTTTTAGGCAATTGATAGATGACAGTAACCATAATATGATAGGGGTATTAGCACAAACTATGCAGGAAATATTTGCCCCAATAGTACAAAATGTGACTGTGACAAACAGAGAAAATGCAGATAACATGAGTCGAATAGCAGATTTCTTTGCTCCCCCAGAGAGGCGTAGGCAGAATCAGGCGGGAGTTCGAGCAAACATACCTATTATGGAACAAGTTGCTAACGACCCAACTTATAGACCACCTAGAGAAGAAATTAACTTGGGGGCAAGGGCACAAAGGCTAGAAGCCCCAATGATCCCAGGCCCACAAAGAGAAATTATGGAACCAGGGGCAAGGGTCGAAAGGCTGGAAGTCCCAGAGTTTCGAGAAGAACAACCTAGGGGGGTTGTCATGGTGGGTCGAAATCAAGATGCTGATGCTGTCGTTCATAGAATTCGAAACGATAACATCTTGGCAGAGAACAATTTAACCACCATGATAGAGAGAGTTATGGCCCAGAATGGCCTCAACACAGGAATGAGAAGGCCAAATTATGCTTCTCCTATATTAGATTGCATAATGCATACTGATTTACCAAGGGGATATAAAGTCCCTAAATTTACAAAGTTCGTTGGGGATACCAATGAGTCAACAGTCGAACATGTAGCTAGATATCTAACCGAAGCGGGAGATATAGCCAATAATGAAGACCTCAGGATTAAATACTTCCCAAGTTCCCTGACTAAAAACGCCTTCACATGGTTCACCACTTTGCCTCCTGGGTCCATTGATACTTGGGCTCTTTTGGAGAGATTATTCCATGAACAGTTTTACATGGGACAATCAAAAATAAGCTTGAAGGAATTAGCCAGTGTCAAGAGAAAGTTCACTGAACCTATAGATGATTATCTGAATAGATTTAGGCTTTTGAAATCCAGATGTTACACAGTGGTGCCTGAACATGAGTTAGTCGAAATGGCCGCTGGTGGCTTGGATTACTCTATTCGGAAGAAACTAGACACTCAATATTTGGGGGACATGGCTCAGTTAGCCGACAGGGTTCGACAGGTCGAAAGGCTAAAGGCCGAAAAGGCCAGAGTCTTTAAAAATAACAAGAAGGAAAGGATCTCCTATGTTGGAACTGAGGAAGCGGAAGATTATCCTGAATTCGAATTCGAAGAGGTCGAAATCGACCTCACTGAATTAAAACAGGCACCACCCTACTCCTGCAAATTATTGGTTCCCACAAAAGGGAAAGAGATTATGGAAAATGAGAAAAGTGACAAATTCCCAAAGAAGGTTTATACCTTCGATGTCACTAAATGCGATGAGATTTTTGATTTACTTGTCAAAGATGGCCAACTCATTGTGCCATCAAATGTCAAAATACCTCATTTAGATCAAAGAAAGAAGAGAGGATTTTGCAAATATCATAGTTTCCTAGGCCACAAAACCTCACAGTGTTTTATTTTCAGGGACCTAATTCAGAATGCAATCAAAGATGGCAGACTGAAGTTTGCTGATAAAGCAAAGATGAAAGTGGACGAAGATCCTTTGGACGTGGCAGACACCAATTACTCCGAGCCTGCATGCATTGGAGAGATTAACATGGTGGAAGCTGACCAAAGTGATGCCCCAATAGGAGAGAAAGGTACTGAAATCGAAAGCTGGGTGATAGTCGAAGTCGATAAGGAGGTCACTGAAGGCGTCCAGAAGCTACCAGAGACTTCGATTGAAGCAGCACCTTTAGCAGTTGCAAAAGAAATCCAGGCTACTGACGGCCAGGAAAATCAAAACCAAGAATTGACACAGGTCACTGAAGGCCTGAGGCTGGAATTGGAGAAAGTCCAAATCACGAAGCCAACTTCCCCTCAGAAGGAAATATGGGACACTTTAGGGGAACCCAGTGGAAAATTTGACTATTTGGTCAAATATTCTGCCCAAGAGAGTTCGAAGGTCCACATCGAAGACATAAAACCCACAGGATGGGGAGATGATGAAGCTAAGGGGGAAGATGCTGAGGTAAACATGGTGGATATGGAGAGGCCTTGCTCTGAGATGGAGGAGGTAGAAAGATACTTAGGAAAAGAGAAGTATAAAATGGAGGATAATCATGCTGGAGATGCTAGTCTCAAGGATTACCTCATGACATGCCACAAGGGAGATACAGGCATGATACTGTGCCCTAGGTGCAGCATCCTCTGCAATCAGAGAATCGCTGCGAACTTCGAGAGGGTACAGAGGACTCGAACTGGCAACAATTGGCGCCAGGATAACCAGCTATTCAGGTGTTATCCTAAGGCTGGACAAAGTTTGCTGGAATTTATGTTTCGTTGCTACAAAGGGGCAACCAAGTGCTTGATATGCCCAAGGTGTTCTGCTGTGTATGATCAAAGCATGGCCAGAGCCTTCGAAACGATTCCCTTCGCCCCTTGCTGGAACCATCAAGAAAATGTTCAGATGGGGCCACGTTTCGATAGCCGACACAAACAACGAAGGCCTGATAGTCCTCATCCCAAGGCTGCTCGAAGAGTGACGTTCAAACTCCCTGCTGAAGTGCCAACCGGCAGATGGCTGCAAGTCAGAAACGACAAAGGCAAAGACAGATGGAGAAACACCGAACGAAATACACGCCATGCTATGACATACAGGAGGAAATTCAACATAGCAAAAAAGGAAGAGGTAAGATTAGAGAACTACAAAGGGAGGAACCCCATGTCGAGATCCCAATGGCGAAGGCAACAGAGGATTTGAAAGGCTGAGAGAGAAGTTGTGGCAAATAAAGGGGCAACCTCAACGAAGAACCAAGGTGAATCTTGCACCAAAAAATCAAACTGAAGACAAACCCCCAGTTAATAGGAGGCTTTTCTCTGAAGTACAACTGGATGAACCAAAGGAATACACTCCAGGCCCAGAAGAAGACGAAGATATGATAACGGATAACTTCGAATCGGAGGGGGAGTCTTCGTTCAACCTAAACTGCAACGTGGTATCTGTGCTTCCCTGTGAATTTGGACAGGAAACTAAAGTTGACGAATACGAGGAAGAAGATACCATAGACTTGATGAAGCATAGGCCTGTATGCTACCATGTGATGGACAATGGGGCTGTCGAGGAGCAAAATGCGTTCTTCGAACGTCCAGAACCAGCTATGAAGAACCATCTTAAGCCACTATTTATTCGGGCAAAAGTTGGTGCCCATGGCGTGAATAAGGTTCTAGTGGATGGGGGTGATGCAGTCAATTTGATACCCCACTTCATGCTGAAAAGATTAGAG